CGTAAAGTTGAGTTTTACTTTGTGATTTGATCTGAAAGCAAGGTTTTTGCTTTATATATCTGTACATAATCTCAACTGTATCTTTAATGAGTATACTGAGATTTACTTACCTTTCTTGCTGAAAGTTAAAACACATAGATAAATTTTAGTGGACAGTGTCTCTGTTTGGACTGCTATAACAAAATACCCTACACTGGGTAATTTATAAACAACAGAAATTTATTGCTCACATTTATGGAGGATGGGAAGTTCTAAGATCAAGCATCAGATTTGATTTCTGGTTAGGGTGCTTTCCTCATAGATGGTGCCTTCTTGCTGTGTGCTCACATGGCAGAAGGGGCAAACAAGCTCCTTCAAAGCTCTTTTCTAAGGACACAAGTCCCATTGACCTGATCACCTCCCAAAGATCCCACCTCTTAATACGATCGCCATGGGAGTTAGGTCTCAACATATGAATTTTGGGAGGACACAAACGTTCGGACCATTGCAAACAGTGTTTCTAGAAAGAAAATCAAAATGATAGAGTTTGGATTATAGAATGCATATCTAATATAGATAGAATCCCATTTTAGTAAAGTCAAAGGCTAATTAAAATGACTGCATTGTGGCTGGGCAGCGTGGTTCATGCCTGTAATCCTAGCACCCTGGGAGGCTGAGGCGGGATGATCACTTGATCTCAGGAATTCGAGACCAACGTGACCAAGAGCAAGACTCCGTCTCTACAAAAAATAGAAAAATTAGCTGGGTGTGGTGATGTACACCTGAAGTCCCAGCTACTCCGGAGGCTGAGGCAGGAGGATCACTGAGCCCAGGAGTTTGAAGTTACAGTGAGTGAGCTACGATGATACCACTGCACTGTAGCCAGAATGATGGAGCGAGACTTCATCTCCAAAAAAAAAAAAAAAAAAAGACTGCATTGTGTTTAGTCCTTATTCAGATTGATGTAGCCTTGAGTCAGATAGACATGGTTCTTGTCCTCATGGAGCTTATGTTCTAATGTGAGTAAATTTACATGGTAAGTAAATTCTGCTCTCACTGAGCAGAATAAATATCTAAGCTGTATTTCTGATATCAGTTATTGTCTTAGAGCTCAGTGATTAAAAAAACACAAAACAGTCTCTTAATTAAAGTTGTCCAAATCCTCCTATGACTTGGTAATTTTAGGCAGTACAGTGATCTCTCAGTGTCCATGAGAAATTGGTTCAGGATACACCCCACCCTCAATACCAAAATCCTTAGATGTTCAAATCTCTCATATAAAATGGTATAGTATCTGCATATAACCTATACATATCCTCCTGTATACTTTA